CAGACAGACAGACAGACAGACAGACAGACAGACAGACAGACAGACAGACAGACAGACAGACAGACAGACAGACAGACAGACAGACAGACTTTGCGTAAGGGGAGGAAGAAATCCAAAAGAGACGGGATAATTTTTTTTCAAATTTTTCGCTCATCAGTCCAAGTTGGACAGTGGTGTGTTTAGTACTGACCGAGTACAGTGTGCCATGTCCTGGTCCTACCCAAAACAAAATGGAAGTTACATTTCATTTTGACGAGCAAGGCTATTTTTTCATCATCCTGTTTACCTATGTCTTCAGTTCACAGATTCAAACGGGAATATAATAAATTTGTTTATCGTATGCACTTGTTCACACTAGTCTAATCAGCAGTTAGAGTGGAGTCTAAAGTAAGTTCTGTACAATTGAAGATCTTTTCTGTACATGTGAATTCATTTATTCAGTCTTCGACTGTGCTTTTTCTTACCATTGCACGTTAACGGTCGGGATTTGACCTGTGACCTGTGATGTCTATTTATCCACTATCAGTTCAAAGCATTACCTCTCACATGTCTTGTCAGCCAGTGTGATAATTTGAAAATATGCATAAATCACGATGTGTAAAACTCGGAGAAAACCTCTTGTCACAGGGTCATGGGCGAATAGCGGTGAAGCGTATTCGGGTGTTTATTTTTTTTGGGGGGGGTGAGGGAGGAGTATTTTTCAATCATTTGTGTGATAGCAATCTTGTTCATCCAAAAATGGACCTCTTACTGATAAAAATAGTACCATCTGTATCCCGTTTCTTGTGTGTGTGTGTGTGTGTGTGTGTATGTGTGATTTGGCATATATGTATGTTAGTGTGTTGAGCAGTTAAATTGAGTGGAAGCTAGGGTCACGAGGACCTGGTTTTTGGCTGCAAAAATCGGCTTGCGTCTGGCAGTCGATATCACATTGATCACTCTCCATCACTGGAAGCCCAGGGGATAGGTGGGTCGGGGTGGGCGAGTGTTTTACGGTGTCAAACCCCTTAAAGCTGATTGCGATAATTTATCAACGTTTATTTTGGGTAAATAAGCAAATAACAGGCTTCACTGTTGTCTAAAACGCCAACACCTATAGCATTTGAAAAAAAATCTGTGTGTATCTTGCAAGAGACCAAGTGATTCATAATTTGTGTGTGTGAACAATTCTGTTTTTTCATATCAACTATGTGATTAGTACGCGGTGAGGGGATGTAAGTCCTGTGGAAGTGGAGACTGCTGGACTCTTGTCACACACACACGAGCAACTGTGTACGGTAAACCAGAATCTAGCGGTTCAAAGAAGACGAACTACCGTCCCGCACAAATCACATAACATATATTTGCATTCACGGTGGTCTATGTGTAAGTTTCATAAGGCTCAATACTTCCGAATCAATAATCTTAATGGAAGAAATCTTCCAGCTTATAAGCGACTGGTCCAGTGTTTACTATTGACGTTCATGATTCCGTGTGATGATTTGAAATTCCCGGGGCCCGGAGGGTCATGCACGTGCTTATGGGTGAAGCTGATGATGCCCCAAAACCCTTACTAATTGCTTGCCATCATCGAACTTTATCCCCGTTTGACCGAGCACGGTGATTGATTGTCGGAAACTGAGGATTACGGAAGGAAACACGGTGCATAACCTGGCTTAGTTGCTTACATTGTTTGGATTTCAGTAAACCATGATTATATACATCGTTTATCAATGATGTGTGCAATGTTCAATGATAATCGTACGATACGAATGATTGTCAAGGACCTACTAGGCACCGCTGGTACGTACGTAGCACCGAGAATAACGGTTTTTTTACCACGTCACAATCTACTCTTACCCAACCGCCTACCTCGTTCTAATACATATACGACTGCATTGGTGAGAACAGACACCATGTCCCCCAATTCCTGCCCCCCCCCCCTACTCCGAGTTTACACATGAACTGTAAACTCATGTAGTGATTGACTGATAAAAAGAAATTGAACTCTTTTCTAATTATGGAAGTTTCCGCGGCAATACACTTAATCTTACCCCTTTGTACACTTTGACGGATTCCTTCGCTTGCTATTCTTGTTTTCTTGAAAAACAAACTGCTCGTTTGATTGACAGTTCGTGAAACAGGATGATAAAATGAACACGTGATTATCGACAGAGCAAAACGTGTTTAATCTGTTTCACAAACGATAAACTTTTACAAACGTATGTACATAACTTTACCCTAAACCTACTGTGACGGTATATGAACGTGCTCTTGCTTAATACCTTGCAGCTCATGCAAACTGAACATCATCATCACTTAAAGATTACTAAATCGATTAATCGGTCGCTTCAGTCACAGTAACCGCTAAGAGGGAACTGATTCGAAGAAGAAGTCACATATCGGCCGATCAGCGCTGAGGTCCGGCGATTTGATTCGACACAGACTCTGTACCCACAAGTCCACACATGAAGTTATCCTTTTATTTATCTGGAGTTGGAGAAGTTGCCGTCCGCAAGAATAAGCATCATTTTTTCCTAGTTACGAAACATGAGGTTTTCAGGATTTTCATTAGAACTTTGGTTGTTCTGGTCACCCGATGATGCAGGTGCGGCGAAAGAGTAAGTTGCATAAAAGCCTTTCTTTTTTAAGTTTCACCACATCTGGTTTGAAATACACATATCAGCTATCGAAGTAGATAAAAGTTGCTCCAGCCTCACTCCCCTCTCCTCGCCGATATTCCCACTAATTTTATCAGAATGGAAGGTAAATAATTCTTTCCGTCGAATGTTTTGAGTTGGAATTTGCATTGAGTTCGGTTTTTCCTAGTAATGAAACACAGTAACTGGCCTTTCGCAGAACAAAGAGCGCATATCGTTGGGGAGCAAACGTCCAACTGGTTGCTCTTATCACGGTTTGCCTTTCTTTATTTTGCCACTCAAACAGATGTTTCGCACCGACGCAGATACTTTATTTTCCAATCACACACACACACACACACAACCCGCGCTGCTCTACCACAACAAATCACTGATGCTTTACAGAAGGATTATCATGAAACATTTAAATCCGGGCCAGATAACATATTGCTTGGTACAAGCACTAGTGTGCGCTCAGTCTGTTCAACCTGGTTTCATCAAATCTTGTTGAAGGATCCAAATTGTTGTCGCAACCTGCATGAGACCGATCAACTGATTACATCCACATTTCCCATGACTGACAGTGTCAAATAGCTGAACCTTATTAAGCTTGTCCCACTTGGTTTATGTAAAATCTGATACAAACTCCAAGTTTGCGCGAGCAGTCCGCTCTGTCAGCAGTCGAATTGAAAAAAAATAATGCTCAGTTGCTGACAGATTCAGGGGAAAACGAATGTAGCAACTGTTTACCCTGACCATTTTGATCATTTTGTCGTGCGTTTTTTCCAATCTAATTCCCATTCCCTTCAGATGAGCGGGTGATGGTGGTGGCCCGGTGGTAATGTCATCCAATTATCACCCCGGGAGGTGGTGTGTTCGAATCCCACCATCACTGACTAAGTTTCCCCATTTGTGTGTTATGTGGCTGTCCTTTGATTGGTCGCTTCCCCCTTCCTGAAAATGGTATCATTATGCATCTAATGAAAGGAAGTAAAACTGAAAAAATAAGAATCACGATTAACCCTGAGTGACTTCTTTCGATGTGTTTATCATGTAGTTAGGTCACCAACTAGTAACCTGGATGTCCCGGGTTCGAACCGCTTCGCCGCCCGTCTTCCCTATATCTGTATTTTCCCCAGGAATCATTTGTATGGCCGCAGCCCCCTTCCTGAAAGTTGACTGTACATTTGTATATTCAATAAATAGAAACAGGAGGTAAAAAGACATTTTTTAATTCTCAAATTAGGATGTTTTCAAATTCATAACCATTTTTCATTGCAATTGATACTACTATTAATATATTTATTCATCTCTTATCCAGACTCCAGCGATGCCTTTGGCACCTTGCATCACTATGTTGACCAACGGGATCCTGATCACGTGCATGGAACCGTTGACATGGCTTCGATTCGGTGTTTGGTCTCTCGTGGGTACGTTACCGGGGTTTGATATTCATTCTGTAATCTGTTTTCGCATGAATTTTCATAAATCGTTCTTTCCCAATCCCATCCTCATGTCAAGAGATATAGGTTGACGGGGGAAGGCCATAGGGGTTAGGTTGTATTATTTAGAGTACAGGGCAAGGAAGCTCGCACGCATGAATGGATACAGTCAAGTTATACTTGCACAGGGTCAGGGCGTGAACTGATCCGAACAGTGTGATGCGTAAACCACGAGTAATCAGCTGATCCACAATTGACTGTTAGAGGGGGACTGCAGCGTCCGCCTCGACAGCACAACGGTCGTCTGATGCTATGTCAAACTGCAATCATGTAGGGCAGATTGCCTATGGCTTGCAACCACTGATAACTGATCCAAGGACACTCGTCACCTTCAGTTTATATGATGTCCTTCTAACTACTCCCATCTGATTACAATATACTGTAAAAGTTTGACATTAAACGGTGATATGTGATAAGGAAATAGATTATCATTGCCACGTTAATGTCCTGTGACCTTACGGTTTACATTCGGTGCATTCCGTTTATATTCGATTTGTTAAAGTTCCAAATTCTAGAGGCTTGAACAGTGGCCTCAGCTCAGATGAGAACTAGACTTTTCATCCTCAATCCGCTGAAAAGCTAGTGTTATAATGTCAGAACTCCAGTACTGGGTCGAGGAGAGTTAACCGCATCGGACTGGCGCAAATAAGATTAACAACAAGAACAAACACAGAATGAGAGATTCCAGTCCTAATGGTTCAGCTGTGGCTCCAATCATGTGTGCTTGCGCAAAAATGATCACAATGTCAAAAGTCCAAGTGATTGCACACGAAACATCTAATTTGAAACGATTGGTTAGTATTTTCATGATCGTCTCTTCATCGGTGCTCGCCAGCCTGAAAGTTTGTTTGTCTCTTCTGTAGTTGTAATGACAAATCATTTAACTTACTTGCGGATGCCATGGAACTCCAACAACCACTTCACGGTGCGCGTAAATTACTAGAAAAAGTGAGTAATACTAGGGTTAAACTAAACCAGCGGGTGCATTTTTCACCGATTTCAAGCAGTTTTTGATTTAATTGATACATTCAGAACGTTGAATCCTACACCCCGTTCTGGACAGTCGATGACAATATGCATATTCAAGACCCGCCGCGAATTAGCATGAACCGCCTGCTGTTGTGTGACAATGAATGAAACCGCAATTATGTGTTAAAAACACGTTTGTGACGCAACTGCGGTAGTGATGATGTCACACTTGATACCACCCTACCAAAACACGACATGACCTTCCCTCTCCCTCCCTCCACCACATTCACCAACCACATCGTTCGGACCAGTTCACCTCCATATCAAATCTTGTCATCTAACTTGACCTCAACCCCTACCCAAACACCAATCGCGCTACTCACTTGTTCACCACCTCATTCAAATGACTCATTTCAACTCTTATGTTTCTTCGTTTTACATGATCATATAAATGTGCATTTACAGCTGAGTGAGAACACGCGAAAGTGGAGACGGATGGCAGTTGACAAACTTCTGAACTTGACCTCTTTGGATAACCTACCCTTGACCGTGTAGAGAGGACGGAAAGCCTCAAGCACATTGACTGTGTGATTAGACTCAGTCAAATGGTTCGTAATTGCCGTCGCCCCGGTCCTTGTCAATCCGTGGTTCAACCAAACGGGATGATGCTCCTTGATGCAATCAGATAGACGCCTCACCGTTCGACCCACATAACTCGCTCAGCAGAAACAGGTGAATTGATAAGCACAAAATGAGGTCGCATCCGGGGATAGTCTATCTTTATTTTGCACAAAGAGGACCAGTTTGGACGTGAATATAATGCAGGGTTCAGCCGCAAAGCAGATGAATTTGATGGAAGATTGAATTCGTTTACTCAATACTTTCGCGATTGATTGGGATGGAGAGATAGACACGCTTCTTATTTGCTGTGTCACATAATGTCTTGGAGGGATATGATGTCATGCTTTTATGAATGAATGACTCAGGATATCCATTCTCTAGAAAAACTTTTCGTATTCTTCCCAGTTCAAACTCCACAGAGTCCGAGTGACAAAGTTTCCTAACTGTCTTGGTTAAGCAGCGAATCACATTGCTCTTCTATTGCAATGGGATGAAGTTATGCTAGTGTGTACTATCCAGTCTAGTTTTTCTTATGGTGGATGCTTATACGAATGGAGCCATTTGATCGTCGAGACAATAACACTTCTAGAAATGCGAGACCATTTGTGGATTCCTTTTCCAACGTGCATTATATTTTCAGACGAGCTGTAATTGAATTTCTCCAACAGAATATCAGCATCCTTGTCAGCATCGTATACACATATGATGTCATCCACATATCGTTTGTAGAAGGGGGATTCTTCTATGAGTTTTGAGAGTACTCCGTTTTCTAATTTGGCCCTGAAAATGTTTTAATCTGTTATAAATTGTGTTTTATTTAGCCAGTTAAAGTAGCACCGAAAACGAGCATCTTTGCTATTTTGTGTTCTCATAAATCTGGTTAGTAGAACACCAATAAGAACAATTGTCTGTCTGCCTTCCATGGTGTTGTGGGTGTCACTCCTGAAACATTTGCACGAGTCAGTCTACGATTTTGACCTTTCTTTCCTTCATTTTTTGACCTTCAGTGGTTGACTGGTCTACTACAAACCATAGCTGGTGTAATTTTGGTACAAACCAGGCGAGGTCAAGTCACCGGGGTAGGTAGGGTACGCTCAGACATATCAGATATCACATGGAACAAAGTACAGTTATAGATTATCATCACCCTACGATCGAAAGAAGGGTCATAGATTAACTTATCAAGCCTTATGCTTTCACGAACTGCCCAATCGCGTAGAAAGACAGAGAGAGAGAGAGAGAGTAGGACAGATAGAGATGTATTGCATCGTTGCATGAGAAATCGGAAGAAGATTATTTAACTAAAACGGAGTGCACCAATTATCGGCTACAGCTATTTTCACGATCAACAGGCAAACCAACTGAATCACCAAGGTTGACCAGTATACTCAGATCAGCTACAGAACACAGTATCCTTGAAGTCATCCGTGAACAATCTATGTAAGCAATATCACTTTTCTGAGCAATGAATATACGCAACTGATGAACTATTGACAGTGACACGCGAGTCTAGTGCTTTCCGAGTGTTTTCGTTGACTGAACAAACCATTTTTACGAAAGTTGGACCTGCCGTTTGAGTTCGTTCATCGATCAAATGTCTTTGAAGGGCTGTGAATCAACACCAACGCTACTCACCTAGTGAGACAGGATCGGAACTGCCGCATGAACATTAGTCCGTATTCTTATTCTTTACCGTAAGCCCAAATCCTCCGAGGGTAACAGAGAAGTTGCCCCCATGAAATGTGTCCCTTAAGATGTCTAATGGGGAAACACTTGGTTCGTTCAACTAAGCTGAGGGCGAGAAGCCAATATTCTGTGCCAAAGCCAACTTCGTAATGCACTTTTTCCATTTATGCGTCTCTGCAGAACTCAGTACATCCTGTTTCTCCTTCTTTCAATTTTTCGTTGCACCTCACAGGTTTGTTGATCTACTTTGCCTACGGGATGTGGTTCAGCAAAGCGGATGAGTTGACCAAAAAGTCTGACGGTGATCTACCACCAGATTACGGGGCCACATTGGATGCCAAGTCCGGACCTAACAACCCAACGGATTTTCCAGCCGAGAAGCAATAGCTTTTCGACACAAACCGTGAAGTTCAACTGATTCATACCATCTCCAATCCCCGGGCAGATCGACCGTAAGTGTCTTGCCCGAAACCTCGAGTGGCCACAGTGTGCTGGACACCCATTTAGATGCTCTCCTGCTATATTTCTTTTTTCTCCATCCATCCAACGAGCACATTTCCACGAGCATGTGCTCATCATCCCACCCATTCAGTGCCCCCCCACACACAAATATTTTGTTGACTATACCCGGATGACATCACAACATGTGACATGAATCATAACATTCACGCTTAACGGAACATGACATAATGAACCTGTTACCACCAGAATGGCTTTATTTGTAAACCATCAATGGATAAGGGGATGCATCATCACCACCTGGTCTGACGAGTCCATTGCTATGGCTCTATCTCTAACCCACCCCCACCCACACCCCCACATTCCATACACTCCTATTTTTGTCCTTGTCTCATAAAATCATATGCCCTTACGTGAACCAGCCATTCTGGTAAACACAGTGCATACTGCTCAAATTGTTCGAGCTGAATCCTAGAATTTATTTGAGAAAGAAAGTTCTGACAGTGAAAAAAATGCTTTTATTGATATTTACAAGGATTTATATTCGTTGTTCAATTGTTTGAATTCGACTTGAACCGACTAGGCGTCTGATGCGTTTCTGCTGACGATTCAGAGAATCACGATGATCTGGAGTATGGTGACTTAGATCGTGTATTATTTAACCGAATTGGCCCAACCAGTTGAACAGTTTATCCTCAAAAGTATATCATTATTTGATTGTTCCACTTTGATGGAATATTCTGATCATCTTATGCTTTGTGGAAGCCAAGCGAATCAAATCTTCGACATCGAGGATAGTCCAGCATGAGACACTTTTGGCACATTTTTTATATCCAGGGCCGTACGGGACATGTTTTTTCACTCTCGTTCAGAGACATAGTTGTATCGCTGCCAAGTGATGGGTTCAAGAACTGCTCACCTCTATGCACGCGGGCACCGAAGATATCTCTTTGATTGGGATTGTCTATAGACTGTAGGGGTAGTCATAACTGGTCATGCACATAAGTTCCTAGACGTCTGGTTCTCAAAGAGCAGTAGCTTATAAATCACTGCAGAATCAATAAAATCAGTGCAGTCTATAGCGACGGCCAGAGACTTGCACTTCTTATGCCTAAGCTTTCTGTAGATCAGCATCTATATCGGTCGGAATTGTGTAGATCGGGTAATACGGAGTTCATTTACGCTTCGTAAACAGGTACAAAAGAGAACACTAATCTAAGTTCAACTGAAGATATTACCTAGCTTAGTTTTAAAACATGCTGAACCTGAGTGCCAGGCTTGAATAGAGAAAATCCTGTGTAACAAACTGCCCTAGTCCACACTAGATATACACAGAGTTCTGATTACTACAAACATCTTGCCTATTATTCGTCTCCGTTCACATTCCGAACGAAGCGAAGAAAGACCAAAATTTCAAAGCACCACATCGTAAGGGGCAGATGTGCTTAAACTGAGCATCCAAAACTGTCCCTATCGAGCAAATGCTCGAATCGGCTAGTCACTCAGCACAAATGAGGGCAAGATAATCCATAATGTCAATCTGTAATGATTTCCATCAATATTGTGCAAAACAACGGTTTAGCTGATTTTGTCGGGTGGAATATTTCACAATGACAGTTTCTAACGCCCACTATGCTGTGGTCATTTATTTGTCAAATCGGAGTGATTGTCATGCAATCAGGTCACCAGTGGTCAGTCACCCTTTACGGTCAACACGACGAGATCAATTGAACCCTACAAGACTGGTTTAACCGCACCAGTGAAACACCGATCGTGGTGAACACCGACGGGATTCATTTAGTGAGATTGTCAAATGCTATTGCACGATTTCCAGGGTTTCCATCATCTCCGAGTACTGTCACTACTCTGCATCTGTGTGTCGATCATCTCCTGGGGAATGGAGGATTTCCGGTTATTTCATCGTGACTATGTGTACCACATTTTGAGTCGATAAATTCCTTCGTTGTTTATATATGAATCCTGAATAGTGATGTATTCTACGAGGTCCACACTACACTATATGGAACAGTGTACTTCTGTCGCTTGAAAATTGCACACGATCGATAAAATCGATTGCACGGGAAAATGGAAGAGAAATGCTTGCAAAAAAGGTGCATAATTCTCTATATTTGCTTTCGTTCCTTTATTTATGATATGTGGATCGATCTCGTTCTCACGGACATGATGTTTTTCACGATCTAAATTGCCCACTGGTTTGTCCAAGTCTAGGTGTATCGGTTAACGGTTGTGGAAATCTTCAACCAAATAGGTACCAAAAATAATTGATTTTCCACGATCACGACAAATGAGGACATTCGTTGCTAAGCGATGTGTGGTAAGAGTGACCAAGTACATACATGTGTTGGGCAATGTTCTTGGCACTCTCTCTACCCCCACCCTCGCCTTTTATTGGATTAACTGGCGTTTTGAGGTCAATAACTGTAAACCGTTATTCGGTTCATTGAAAATAAACCGTTCTTATTGATTCAAAAATTTTTGCTATAAAATGGTCACGTACGCTGTGTGACTGTCTCCAAAACAAAGTTGTCGATATTTTGTAAAATAGTTGTATTGTATCGTACTGTATTAAAACTCTAGCGAGTTATATACAAGCTTTCAGTCAAAACAGACCATCGTCACAACACTGGCTAAAAATGGGAATTCACTACTAAATGCATTAGAAAGCTCAAAACGAACACTCTTCTTATGGACCAGTATTCAAACAAGGTAGGGTACCAAAGAGTTTCTGTGGGCACGTATTCGAGTCGGAATGAGCTTGCATTTGGAACAAGTGGAAGGGGTGGGATTTTCATGCTCATAGATCGATGTTTAAAGGACGAGTGCAATCAGACAGAATGTTGTCAGCAAACTTGGAACAAACATCAACATGAGCATCACAGATATTATCAATCAGCACAGATAAAGAACGATAGAAAACACGACTGATCATTGATAACTCAGGCCTCAGCAACTTGAAATCGGTCTTCAGCAAACCAGGAAAGATCATAGGGGAGCAGTAAAGCAGTATAGGGAGGATTCATTTTTGAACAAAAGCTTTTATCACCGACAAATCAGAATGAAAGTGGCGCGGTCTTGGAGGAGAGAAATTTCAGCTTGCGAGCAATAGTTTGGGTATGCTAAAACCAGTGAAAATTAATTTCAAGTGTGATACCTAAGTACTTCACATGGCTGCTGATCGGCTTTCTATGAATCTGTTCATTGTCGGAAAGAGATGGAAAACGATTCAAAGTAACAATACATTCAATGCACTTTTCGGGATTAAGCCCAAGACCGGATAATTTGGAATAGTTAACTAGGTGGGATAAGTTTGCTACATACAGCCAGTTCTGATTTTTTTGGATCCGGATACAGAAATGATGATGATATTATCAGCATACTTAAAATCTCATACAGGGGGGGGGGTGTAATCGATAATAGATAAGTCACTGATATAAACCGCAAAGAGATAGGGTGATGAGACAGCGCCTTGAAGTACACCTGAACTATAGACTGATGCCGTTGGCTGTCTTCTCAATTTCACATACTGATATCTTTGCGAAAAGTAATCACAAAGCCATTAGAAAGAGAAGTGGGATAACCAAATGGTTGGAACTTGTTAAATAAAAGGGAAAGGAGCACCTGATCAAAATTTGAAGAAATGCACAAAGCACATATTTGGCTTTCTCGTTAAGGGGCGTGCAAATGAAGTGAACTAGAGAAGGACCAGCATCCAATGTAGAGAGGTTATATTTATATGCAAATTGATAAATGTCATCGGGGGTGGTGAGAGATAACTGAAGGTGATGCAAAACCGATCACTCCATCAAGCAGTCTGTTGTGTTCGGTTTTGAAAACCTGGAACAGTGAAAAAATAACGATATGTGACGTTAATTTTTGTTCCAAAGGTCTGAGTGGTTGTAAGCTCTTTACTTGTTCCGGTTGATACTGGGTACCGAGCAGATGCGTCTACAGAAGCTTCTCTGAAACTACGCACACAGGAATGAGAACTAAGTCACAGGTTGATATTTAAGTGGAGTGAAAAAGATACAAAGTAATGATACACCCAATAAGACTCATGTCTTTCTCTGCTTTCGGTGTACAATTCTGTTTTGTTTTCGGTTAATGGAAGAAAATTAGTTATGTTGACTTATCCGGTTAGCGGTTAATATACGAGAAAACTTCTTGTATCTTCGTCCGACCATGTGGCCCTCACTCGTAGTGATAACCACTGAGCCGCAATTGTTAATATAAAATCAAATGTAAGGAATTCATGAGGTGAATCAAACTTGCGGGAGTTGAGGTCGGTTCATGTGATCTAGAGGAGTGTAGTACCTATTTTAAGTAAACTGTGTATCATAGACGTAGTTCAGTCATTGTGTGCTTAGCATCGAAGTCTTCGGTGCAGCCTACTAACCATCAAATTGCTCCTTGATTATAAGACACCTCGAATGTTTCACTTCTTCTATACGATCACTATTTCCAACCGTGCTCGCCGAAGAACGGCATCTTAGAATGCAACCCTTGAGCGCTAGATAAATAGTTACTTGAACGATTGTTTCGTCAAAAGTTCTCATTGCGCAATTAGCGAAATGATATAAGCAGATTTTGATCGTACGACATTGACTTTCCTCAACTTTCTTTCTCCCAGTAGTTCGATATAAGGATTCCTAATGCTTTATTTTCAGTTCTCAATCTCGGCGATACGATTTGTCAGTGATCTGTATCTGTCTAAAGGATCAGGTCTTATGGATAACGTGGCAGTACGATGTACGGTACAAGTGATAGACTTCAAAGATTTCAAAGATTTATTATGGGAATAACTTACAAGCTCATGCTTTTCTGGTCCCATAGGTTCGTGCGGTGGATTAGGAAACAGTGATACATACAAATCTTTTTGTAAAATGCCACGTGATACGTGCGTTTTCCAC